AGGGTTAATGTCTATTAGAGTTCCTTTTTAATAGGAACACCATTTTAAGCTTAGTAAGTTGGTTAATGTCCACGTTTTTTCTACAGTCTAAATAAATTCAAGAAGATGATAGTTATTTATACTTACTATTTCTTTACTGGAAGGATATGCCTATAGATGTTTTTGAAAGGGTCTTAGTGTTTATTATGTTTGAATTCATCACTCAGCAACAATTTCATCTGTAGATAAGTAGTTTGGAAGAGTATGTAGAGAGTTAACTGGAAAAACTAGGTATTATGTACAAATGAATAATATAAGCAATATAGAAATTTAGAAATGGCAACTATTCCAAAATTCTGGGACAGCAGAGGAGATTTTTCATGGAGGATTGAAGAGCTAGGAGTTGAATATTCTTTGTTTTAGCAGTTGAGTTTTTTCTTTTCTTTATTTCTTTGTTATTTTATTTCATTTTTTTAAGACAAACTCTTGCTATATAGTTCAGGCTGGCCTGGAACTAAATTTTATTCCAGACTGGCCTAGATTATTGATCTTTTTGGCTCAGCATTCTGAGTGCTGGAATTATAGATGTGTACTACAAACTGCTTAGTATTTAAGTTTTGAAGATGAAGATTTAGATGATAAGTAGAAAAATAGACTATGAATTATGGTTGGATTGTAAATTATTTTTAGACCATTTTTATGTATCTATTTTTATGTTGTTTAGTTGATATCAGACACATTTTGATGTGACCTAATAATTAAAATTGGAAATAAAAAATAAAACTATTCTCACTTTATTTGTAAAGAAAATTCCTGACCCTGAGTCATAAGTGTTGGTGGGGAGAATGGTGTGTTGGGAACTTTTGAATATAGCCTATGACTTAGCAGTTTCTCTTGAATATTATAACCTAGAGAAATGCATTTTATTTCATGATCCTGTATATAAACACTATGTGAATATTTGAAATAACATATCTTTACTACATACAATAAAGTTAAACATACATGAAGGCTTAATTAAAATGTGAATTTCAAAATATTTAAATGAAATTAAAATTCCAAATTAAACACACAAGAACTTAGGAAATATTTTATCTATCTAATATGTCTTTTTGCCTTTAAAGTTTATTCTTCTGTTTTCTCTTGCTAAGAATTTATATATAATTTTGATATTTTCTATTGTTTTTTTGGTGCTAATGGAAATAGAACTCAGGACTGGAACTTGCTAGATTGGCACTGGAACCATTCTCCCAGCCTCCTTTTGCATTGGTTATTTTCAAGGTAGAGTCCCATTGTGTTTTGGGAGTGTGATTTTCCTACTTCTAAGACTCTGAGGATGAAAGGAACACATTGATTGGCCTAGTCATTGTCTTTTTCTTACCATAAGGATTATAGGCTAATACCATGGTGCTGTCACTGATTGATACAGAGTCTCTTGAACCTCTTTTTTTCGAGAGCTGTCTTTGAATCACTCTGTCCCAATCTCTACCTCCCAATTAGTTAGGATTACAGACTTGAGTCATTGTGCATAACTGTATTTTATTCTTTAAAGGCTGATTAGATTACAAAACTGATTGTATGATCCATTTCTGTATTTCAGTCTATAGTTACAAAAAACTATTTGAGAGAAATTTTTGCTACTAGGTATCTGTACTCCCAATTGTTCATAGCTGCATTGTTTTTAAACCTGTTTTCCTCAAATGAAAAACCATTGAAATATATACTAACAGAAGACAGGTAAATATATTACACACAAACACACACACACACACACACACACATATATATATATATATATATTAAACACCAAAGTTATTAAACCACAAATTTATCATCAATATGGATCAACTTGGGAAGCTATGTTAAAAAGGAAAATACAAACTATGTATAGTGTATTTAATTTATATTAAGTTAAAAACAAGGGTATACATGGCATTACAATATAAAGAAGAGGAAAATATGATCCAACTTCAAGAAAATTGTTGCCTCTTATAGAGGTTAGGCGATATAAGAGAATAAGGGAACATATAAGTAATTATAAAGATTATAGCAGTTATGTTTCCGAGTTGGATACTGGTGTGTGCAGAGCTAATTCATTTACCTTTTTCTTTATTCTTTATCCATTTATTCTTTATCCATTTTCTAGACATTTTTTGCATTTATCAAGTATCTACTAAACATTTAACTTTACCTTGTTCATTAAACTCAACCTATGTTTCATTCTATTCTTGGATCGTAACTCATTTTCACATCTTCCTTAAGGTCTTCCATAAAAGATAAATATGTACATACAAAAATAAATTAGCTGAGTATCAGAAGCTTATGCCTATAATCCTAGCTGTGCAAGAAGTTGAAATCTGAGGATCTTGATTTGAAGCCAGCCTGGACAGGAAAGTCCATGAGACTCTTACCTTTCCAGAAATACCACAAGTAGAGCTGTGGTTCAAATGGTAGAGTGCCGGGCCTTGAATAAAAAAAAGCTCAGAACAGTATGCCCAGGCCCTGAGTTCAAGCACTACGGCATCTCCTTCCCTCCTCTCCCCCATGCCCCAAACCCCTGCCGCCAAAAAAATAAATTGTTATTAAGGATCTGAACATCAGTGCTAGTCCAGAGAGGAATGAACAGTCTCCAACAACACAAGATATCTATCTTGCTGTGTGTGCTTTTTGGTTGGCAGACAGAGATGGCCGTGTTGAGTCTGATGTGGAGGTTTCAAAAAGTGTAGTAAGCCAGACAGTGTTAATTGAAAGAATGAAAGGATTAACAAAGAAAGTATTATGATAAAAATGCTCAACAAGAAATGTACTCATTACTTTATTCATGTAACTGGAACACCGTTTTGCAGCGTCTTTACAATAAAATAAAAATTTCTAAAAAAGAATATAGATTTTGGTTGTAGCATGTTAAGTTGAAGTAGCAGCAGACAGTCCAAATAGAGGTATCCTACATAAATTTACAAATGTGAGATTAGTGATAGTACTGGATTATTAATTGGATAGTCTTTCCCACAGAGGTAAGACTACAAGAGAAGAGGTAAGTTTTTTATAAATAGAAAAGAGAGAAGCTAATGATTGAGGCTTTAGTTATTTAGCTATGTCTGGATAGTAAGAAGAATTCCTAAAAAAAACTTGACAGTTTTAATATTCTATCTACAGAGCAAGGTATTTTTAGAACCCAGAATTTTTATTTATTTATTTGTTTGTTTATTTATTTATTTTTGTGCTAGTCTTGGGGCTTGAACTCAGGGACTTGGCGTTGTCTTTAAGCTATTTGCTTAAAGCTAGCACTCTACCACTTGATCCACGACTCTATTTCTGGCCTTTTAGTGAGTAATTGGAAATGAGTCTTCCAAAGCTGCCATCGAATGCTGATCTTCAGATCTCAGTCTCCTAAGTAGCTAGGATTGCAGGCATGAACCACTAGAGCCCAGCTTCTAAAGTTTTCATTTTTAATGTTTGAAATGATTTATGCCTTCATGAAACCAGGATTATTTTTCATATTTGCTAGGTAGGTACTCTGCCACTTGAGCTTTGGTTATTTTTCAGGTATGGACTTTTTTTTCTGCCCTGGCTGGTTTGGAATATGCCTCTTACTTAAACCTCCCAAATGGTAGAGATGATGCTAGGTATTTACTACCATGCCAGACGTTTTTGTTGAGATAGAGCCTCAATAAGTTTTTACTTTGGCTCACCTTAGACCAAATTCTCCTGATCTCAGCTTCTGAGTAGGTGGGATTAAAGGCTTGAGCTACCACACCTTGTTTATATAGTTTTTCTAAAAAAAAGTTTTCCAAAAAAGATTTATTTTTATTTTTTATTCCTTATTTTCTTTCTTTTTAAATTTAATTTAATTAACAAGGTGATGTACAGAGGGGTTACAGTTACATATGTAAGTACATTCGTTGTTGAACTTGTTACCCCTCCCTCATTTTTCTCCCACTTTCCCTCTCCCCAACCCCAAGTTGCACAGTTCATTTCTAATATAGTGTCTTGTGAGTATTGCTGTTGCGTTGGTTTGCCCTTTGTCTTTTGTCTCACCATTTTGTTGTTCCCCTTCCCTTCCCTAATTTAGATAAACATATATACAATACCCAGGGTAGCAAAATCAAATACAATGAAAACAGAGGATAAATCACAGGGAAAAAGAAACACAAAAGAAAAAAGAAACCACATAGTACATTAAAACAACAACAACAAAGAAAAACTTCTTGTTTGTACATCTTGTTCAACCACTTTGGAAAGAAGTGTGGAGATTCCTCAAAAGACTAAACATAGAGCTTATGACCCAGCACTCCCACTTCTGGGGGTTTACCAAAATGATCACAAACAAGGCCATACTAAAGCTACCAGCAGAACCATGTTTATTGCAGTATTATTTACCATAGCTAAGATATGGAACCAACTCCAATGACCCTCAGTAGATGAATGGGTTAAAATATATATATATATATACACCATGGAATTCTATGCTTCCATCAGAAAGAGTGGCATCATCCCATTCATAAGGAAATGGAAAGACTTGGAAAAAATAATAATAAATGACGCAAGCCAGGTTAGAAGAAACATAGATCCCCTATTTTCTCTAACTTGTAATTATTAGTATATGACTAGGATAGTCCTAGCAGATGAACAAAGTAGCTTAATAACTATCTATGTATAATCATATAAGATGATGCTAAGCCAAATAAAATTTAAATAAGAAAATAAGTAATTATTTAGCTACATATATGTTTTCATTATTATAATGTTTAGTAACATTTTCTTTTGTTTCACACATAAATTCTGAAAGTTTTAGAGTATGGCTTAATACTTAGTGTTCAGCATATGTGTGCTTCATCTTAAACTGGTAAGTATTGTACTTGCACATTTTTTTGATGAAAATCTCTGAATGTGTCACAGGAAATGAGAATTGCGATCATAACTTTATTATGAAAACTAATCCTAATGGTGATAATAAAAAACTAAAGCTTATAATTTTTCTTAGACATAACAGATTACCAGAAATCTAACTTTTTTCACAGAGAGAATCAGTACTAAAACGGGAAATAAATGACCTTGTAAAACAGAAGATTGTGTTCGATGAAGAAAATGCTTTCTTGAGGAAAGAATTCAGTGACTTGCAAAAGAAATTTAAAGATAAAAGTCAAGAAGTTAAGGTGTGTTGACTTGTACATAGTTTTATAGGACTACTGCTTTGAAGTCCTCCTTTAAGCTTTGTCAGCCTTTGTGGCACAGAAAGTGACAGGCTTGGAGGAAAAATTGCCTGAGGCCCTGTTGTACCATACAGTTTCTCACATAGGAAAACTGATAAAGATGCTTTAAAGCTAAGACTCCAAGCTTTATAACTTTCAGATAAATAGTTAATGATGGAAATGGAGCTAAGAAAGTAGGAGTGTGAATAAGTGGCTTCTTGTAATTAGATTCTGATGGGACTGGCATTATTAATTGATAAAACCCAGGTCTGGGAGGATATGTCTGTGTGGGTCTCAAAAATAGCTGGGGACAGCATCAAAGGCAGCTTGATCAATTAATGGGCTCTTTGCAAATGTGTACTCATCAAAGCTGTCATCCAGTGAAAAAATATGACCCATCCACCTGCATGAAAAGAGGCCAATAAAAGTACACAGGTGACCTTGGCCATCAAATATAGAAGAAGGCTGCTGTGAGGGTAAAACTGCATAGTTTATATTTGCTGATTAGTTCTCACCTTTTTTTTTGTTGTTGTTTATCGGCCCTCGTGGTACTGTTCTACAGGACACTAAGGAGTGTGTACAGAATAAAGAGGAGCAAAGCAGACTGGTTATAAAAAATCTGGAGGAGCAAAATGAGAAATTAAGTACCTACTGCGCTGACCTGCTAAATGACCTGGAGAAACTGAGGAAGCAGGAGGCACTTTGGAGAAAAGAAAAGCAGACCATTGATACAAAAATAAAGGTATACAATGGGAATGGAATTCATGCTGCTATTCTAGATCTAACTTCTTATCAGGAGTTTAATACGTGTAATTTTCTTTAACTAACAAGTTATATATTCAAATCCACCAGTGGGGACTAGCATTAATTTATATTCTTTCACTTAAGACCCACAGCTTTTTAAAAATTGATGTTGCAAAGCAGGAAACTGACTTCAAATAGTTATCCTAAAATGTAATCATTAAAAAATAAAAGCTATTGCATTTTGAAATGTATTTTGAAAAAATATTGAGAATTTAGTATTAGACTTTTAAAAATTAAGACTTAAAGTTATAAATGTAGTTCAAATTCATAGTAATATAGTTTTAAAAGTATTTTCTATGTTCTTTTAGAAAATATAGTGGAAAAACTCCTACAAAAATACTTAAATATGCTCTTCTATGGGTCTATGATATTGCTGCTTTTTTTTTGTCTTAAAGGGGACTAGCAGCAAATTTTAGTACAGGAAAAAAGTTACCATCTTTATAATCCTACTTCTGTTCTTGACCATGTTATCAAAATAATATTTCTCTTTTGCCATAGATTTTTATTGAAAAGGGCAGAAACAAAGTGAGTCTTATTAATGTATACATAAAAAGGATATCTAATTTAAATAAATAGATGAATCTATATATGTAAAAATCCACAAATATATAGTTGACAAGATATTTTTGAATGTGTGCTTATGTTCATGAATATTTAATTTAGGGAAGAAATATGTCTGAATATTTAAATCAATCCATTGAATTTTTTAAGGAAATAATATCTTGATGTCATACACTAAGAATGACTGAGCTATTGAATTAATTACATTTTAAAACACTTGTTTTATTATTTACTTGTATATTTTTATTTTTATGGTACTGGTTTGGACTGAGCTTCCTGCTTGCTAGGCAGATACTCAGTTGAGCCACACCCTAGTTTTTTACCTTTGCCTTTTTAAAAATAGGGTCTCATGTTTTCGTCTACAGTCCTGCTTATGCCGCTCAGTAGCTGGGATTATAGACATGTATCAATCAACATATGCAGTACATTTTTTCCCTTACCAGTTACCCTTAAATACAACCAAAAATTTAAATCTAAACCTTCATTCTATGTCTTCTAATTGGAAAACTGAAGCTAATAATGTTCAGTGTCACTATTCAAAGGTATATAGTATTTTTTTGTGTGTGTGATGTTTGGGTCTTTCCTAATCCTCATTTTCTAAGTAAGACAGTGATTTTTCTCTTTCAGTTGTGTGAATTTTTTGTTAATGAGATTTTAAATTTTTGTGAATTTGTGTCAATTTTATTTTCTTTCATAATGTTTTTACTGTTTATATATGATAAAGTTTTTTTCATCCTAAAGTTTTTAATCTCTTTTTACATTTTGGGTTATGATGCCCACTTTTAATTAACACTGTTTAAATTATATAATTTAGTGCTGGTGGTTCACGCCTGTAATTCTAGATATTCAGGAGGCTGAGATCTGAGGATCATGGGCAGAAAAGTTCAAGACTTTATCTTCGATAAACTACTCAGACAAAGCTAGAAGTAGTGCTGTGGCTAAAATGGTACAACACTAGCCTTGAGCTCAGGGACAGTACCCAGTACTCAGTACCCCAGGACTGGCAAAATTTTTTTAGATTATTTATTTTGTTTAATAATTTCTATACAATTTTCATTGGTTTCAATTTTTTGATTAAAGTTTCTCTTTTTAGTATTAGAGTTAGAATTCAGGCCCTAGTGAACAACATGAGCAACCTTTTCTTTGTGCTGGTTTTTTTTTTGAAATAAGAGTTTTGCTTCCTGCCCAGGAGCAAGATTCTATTTTAGACTTACCACTGTAGATGGGGTGACAGGTGCAAGTCTCTACTCCCAGCTTCTTCTCTTGAAGATAGTCTCTATACTTTACTGTCTGGGCTCAATCATTCCAATATTAGCCTGGAATCCTGAAACGTTAGTCTTGCATGAAGCTAGGATTACAGGAGCATGTCACTGCCCATCAGTGGGTTGAGAATGGGTCTTGTGAATTTTTCTTTACAGGCTGTCCTCAAACCACAATCTTCTCATTCTCAGCTTCAGTAAGCTATGATGATTTTTTAGGTGTCTGACAAAAAAACCAAAATCTCTAAATTGAATAAGGTATTGTTGGTGCTAAGTTTTTAAAAAGTGAAACTGGGGTTTGAACTCATAATCTGACAAGTGTTAGGTGCTCTACCACATAAGCCATGTCTCCAGTCTCCCTTTTTGCTCATTAGTTTTTTCATAGGGTCTTGCATTTATGCCTGGCCTTGGACTGCAATCCTTCTACCTATGCCTTCTGCATAGTTGAAACCACGGGCACATGCCACAATGTTTGTTGGTTGAGATATAGTCTCACTAACTTTTTGATAGGAATGGTCTTGAACCATCATTCTTTGAATGCCTATCTTTCAAGTAGCTGGGAGTGTAGGTATATACCACCACAATTCAGTCTAAATTTTTTAAGTGAAAAATTTAAAGTATGACTTTTTGTATCATTTGATAGAACATATATATATATATATATGTAAAACCTTTTGTTACATTTAGTTGTATTATGTTTGATGTAATATAAATGCTCTAATTTTAGGCTTTTGAAAATGAATTAATTGAAGCCAAGAAAGAAATTGAAGTATCACAGAGTAAATATAATGCTCTATCTTTACAACTGGATAATAAACAGACTGAACTTCTCCAAAAGGACATGGATATTACCCTGGTCCGGCAAGTATATTCAGTTTTTAATTTAACATTGGGATATGTTATTAGTTATTCAATATGACATTTATGTTTGTTATTAGCATTTATAAATGTCAACAGTCTGTCTTCTGTTGTTATATATGTTTACACATTGAAATCTGAAATTGTTGGTATTATGATGTGAATACGCAACCTAGGAGAATTAATGACCCACAGGACTGATTGCACGTAGTCCAGGAGTACCCTTGTTTCCAGTTTGTAACAAGGGAAATGAACTCATATGTTGTTTCTTTTCTAAGCTTCTGACCGTGTGTTGTAATAGTAGTATTAAGTGAGAAAAATGTGAATTTTGAATTTTTATTTTATGTTCTATATAGTTTTATTTATTAAATATTCTTTCTGCAATACTACTACTACTACTACTACTATAGTACTACTAATAAGGTGGGATCGATTGAAAGGTAAACATAATATACAACTGTGCTTTTATGTGTTATAAGAAATATTAGTACTACCTATGTAGTATTGAAATAAGAGCATGAAATAAGTGTTTATAAAAGTATATGATAACATTAATCAAGATGCATAAACTGACATGTTGAATTAAACACCCTTGAACAACTACTTGAAGATAATAAAATAAATAGAAGTTTATGAAAAATGTAATAATATCATTTTTTTTGGTCGGTCGTGGGTCTTGAACGCTGGGCTTGGGCGCTGTCCCTGCACTCTTCAGCTCAAGGTGAGTGCTCTACTGCGTGAGCCACAGTGCCACTTCCGGTTTTCTAGTGGTTTTTATTGGAGATAAGAGTCTCTCAGACTTTCCTGCCCAGGCTGGCTTTGAACCGCGATCCTCATGTCTCAGCCTCCTGAATAGCTAGGATTACAGGTGTGAGCCACCAACGCCCGGCTAATTTTTCTTAGTCCATTTTTATGAAAATCTTTATAGAAGTTTACAGGTTAAAGGGCCCTGATATATACATTATTTTAGTAACAACTAGGCTTTGTGGGTTTTTTTTCAGGTTAAATGGAAAAATAGGCTTTTTGATGTGAAATTGAAGGAATTAAAATCTTAGACCATTACTATTCTTTTAAGAATCACTAATAAATACTATCTTTCCAAAACTTAAAAAGATGATATGATAATCTTTGGAAGATAATCGTTTTATTATTTATTTATAATTCTTTTTTATTTTTAGTTGGTTTTGATATCCTGGTATGTATTGGAAGATAAAACATTAATTATAATAAGTCCACTTCAATTTGTATTTTGAAATTACAGCACTTACTGCTTCTTGTATAATTGCATGTTCACAAATGTTTAGTCCTAATTCTACATTTTATTTCTGTGCTCATTGCTGAACGTTTGATCATAACATACTATGCTACACTTTTTTATTTATGAGATTATCATTACAGTATTTAGCCATGTAACTTATTATAAGAAGTAGAAAGCAGGAGTGAAAGTGACATGTGCCAGGCTATGGCAGATATTTTAAAGGAATCATTGTTTAGTTTATGTTTGCTTTTACCCATTGCCAGAGGTGTGGTACATTCCGAGTATAGCCTGCTACTCTACTTTTCTGTGTCTTGGCTATCAAACTTGTTTTCTGCAGGGGAATTACTAAGTATCATTGTAAAAAAATAACTACTGGATTTATCTTTTAGCAATACAGTAATTTTCTGTCTTGCCATGGGAAGAAACACTTTATTCTCAGCAATTCTTTTTTAGCTCAACCTAGATTTTCCTTTATTTATTAGATGTGTGTCTAGAGAAATTTCTCAGATTGAAGCTAAAAGAATAATTTTATCTTCTAGCATTTTGATTTTGCTGATAACTTCTGTCATTAAGGATTTTAATGTCATGGTGCCATCTTTATTCTCTTTAGCAAGTGTTTTTTTATGTTATCCTTTTAAATTCATTCATTCAACAATTGTTTTCAGATATTCTAAAAACAGAGAGGGAATAGTACTGGTTATTTACTTGAGATATTGTATTCCATTGCAAAGTGAGTAAGGGAGCAAGAATCTGAGTCAAGAAAGGACAAAATGAATTACTGTGTTGACCATTACATCGTGATGAGCCATGAAGGTATAGCAGGTACACTGAATTATAGGTTGTTGCTACATAGAGAAACCATGGTCTGAAAACAATGTAGTAGATAAAAGTAATCATTTGTCTGGCTGATCTCTTTTATCCTATTCTTGTCTCTTTTTTTTGGTCTCTGATTGTAGCATTTTATCTTATTCTGATACTGGTATAAAGTGGCAAACAAAATTAATATCAGGTAGTTAGTCTCAGGTGTTTGAGTTGTATAAATTCGGTGGCTTTTTTTTTTTTTTTTTTGTCCGTCCTAGGACTTGAACTCTGGGCTTGGGCGCTGTCCCTCAGCTCTTCAGCTTAAGGCAAGTGTTCTACCACTTGAGCCACAGTGCCACTTCCGGGTTTTCTAGTGAGAGTCTCACAGACTTTCCTGCCTGGGATGGCTTTGAATTACAATCCTCAGAGCTTAACCTCCTGAGTTGCTAGGATTACAGGCATGAGCCACTGGAGCCTGGCTAAAGTGGGCTTTTGTCATGGTAGTTGCTGAGGCAGATCAAGGAAATGAGTCTAGAAGTTAAGTGAGATTACTTATGAAAAGATGTATATCATGTGTCTGATACAACAGGAAATATCAAAGAATAGAACGTATCTTAGTTCTTCTGTTCATAACACTCAATGAAAGATTCCTTGCTCTTACAAAACTCCTCTTACATTTTGACTTCTATTGATGTCCACTACCCCTTCTAGAGGTGGAGTGGTTGCTTGCTTTTTCATACTTTTCCTAATTTTTCTTTTGAAAGTTCTTTAGCCATTTCCACTTGAGTATACTTTTCTCTGAGTGTGAACAATAAATATTTTTGGGGGGGTGGTCATGGGGTTTGAACTCTGGGCCTGGGTGCTGTCCCTGAGCTCTTCAGCTCAAGGGACTAGCACTTTTCCACTTGAGCCACAGCACCACTTCCAGTTTTCTAGTGGTTAGTTGAAGATAAGAGTCTCTAGACTGCCCAGGCTGGTTTTGAACCGCAATCCTCCAATCTCAACCTTCTGAGTAGCTAGGGATTACAAGCATGAGATACTGGTTCCTGGCTTGAACAATTATTTTTTAAGTACTCATATCCATATAATTTTATGAAGTCTTGCTCATTTTCTTGGTTTTAAAATAAGAAATTTAAACAAGCTTAGTGTTTTGTAGTTGTATAGATGTGTTAGTTAGCAAAAGTTGTTTATTGTACTTTGATACTATTCAAGTTTCTTTTTTCACATACCACCGGCATATGTATATGGTTTGAAGCCAGCCTGGGCAGAAAAGTCTATGAACCTTTTCTCTACAATTAACCATCAAAAAGGTGGAGGTGTGGGTCAAGTGGTAGAGTGATAGTTTTGAGCAAAAACAAGTGATAGCATAAGACCCTAAGTTTAAGACCTAGCATCAGCACAAAGAAAAGAGAAGAAGATCTGTAATTTATCTTCACCATGTTTTTTTCAAAATGCAGTATGTGTGTGTGTGTGTGTGTGTGTGTGTGTGTGTGTGTGTGTGTGTGTG